TATATAGAGAAATAAAATATGAATTATTTATTAATATTTTTAGAATAAGTTAAAAAGAAATTTGTTGTTTAATGAACTTCAATAATTTGAAATTAATATTTTAAAAGTTAACGTTCTTAACGAATGCCTGTTTATTAAAAAAAAAAAAAAATTATTTATGAGTGAAATATAATATTTCATTTGTTGAAACCAATATGATGATTAATTGGAAACAATTAAATTTATTTTGCAAAACTGATGAAAACAGTAAATATTTGGGTAATTTTTCTCGAAGTATTTACTAATTATCCGTGAAAGTAGTTTTTTAAACTTATAACCAATTCAATATAAATATGTATTTAACAATATATTATATTCTATATGCATTTATAATTTTACACTTAATGAAATAATGGCTTTTCAAAAGTTTAATATTTTTTCTAATTTTATATATTGCTATGTTGTTTCAAAGTATAAAAATTTACAACCATATTTGCATTATCTTTAGGTAAGAACTAAGAAGTGTGTTTTGACCAATGGCTGTTTTCAATTTATGGCAAATTTACATTATAAATATATATGTATATTATGTGGATAGCATAAATTAATTTAATAAAGTCATTTCCAAATTAGCAATCGATAAGTTATAAATAAAAATTAATACCGTATATAATTATAATTAATACCCTACCGCTTATATTATAATTTATATTTTTTATTATTATCAATGACTTTCAATGATAATTAATATTGAAATTTAATAATATTACTATTTTTTTTTTCCAATATTATAAATTTACAAACAATGTGCTCTAATATTTTTAAATAAAAATTTGGTTTTTATTACTTATAAACTAAAACAAAATGCACTAACATCTGATATAACATCTGATTAGCAGTACATTATATTTCATAAAATAATTTTTTAAAGAAAAAAAAAATTTTGATCACTGTATCTTTGATCTGTCATTGATTTCATCAAACTAATATATATTTATTACATAACTTATATATAGATATATAAATATGTATCATCTAAATTATTGAAATCATATAATTTTACTATATATTCTTTGAAATTGAAAATTGAACAAAATATCGAAATACCACTAATTATATACACATTGCACACGCAAACTCAAATGTTTTAATTGTGTTAGGTTGTCGCGCAATCATTTTAATTTTCCTTTTTTATATTGTTTTTCTGTATCCGTGATAATTACTTGTACTAAATTATTTTCATGTATTGTAGATATGTTTTGTATTTCAATACACTTGCTTTAATTGTCTTACGTATATAATATAATATTTCATTATACAAGTTTACAAAAAAGTATTTTGTAAATAATTATATCATTTTATTTTTAGGAAAATGATAATCTTGATTATTTGTTAAATTCGTTCTAAACAGTTGCATATATGAAGTAGTTAAGCAAAGTAATTTATTATATATTCACAAAGATTTTTATATGCTTTGAAGTTAATTTAACGTTTATGATGTATAGAACATTTAAATTATGTCAATTTTCGAGTTCCGTATGAAATACAAATGTAAATGCCCGTATAAAGGCTAAATAATAGAAAACTCTCTAATAAATTTTAATCGACTATCATTAGTCCGATGAACAATAATAGATTTTTGAAAAATTTATCGTTTGGAAAGTTTTCGTATGAATCTGAAAATAAAGTTTTTAAAAATATTTGTAAATAAGTTTATAAGTAGGTAAATGAATTTTCTATAAATGTAAAATAGTTTCCATTACAGTACTTCCAACGGATATCTGTTGGGCGTTATTAATGCAATTTTTCTATCATCAAGTTTTCATTTAAAAGTTATATAAATCACTTTGCGCTCAATCGATAAAGCAATTATCATAATTATTGTTGATAATATGTTGCTGAATTTTAATACAAGTAATCTACAAAAAATAGAAATGGTTTGTTTACAAATGAATATATGTTCGTGTTATATTGCATTATTATAAACAAGTATTATCAATTACGTTTTAAATAAATGTGTATCGTAACGAATAAGTGGTAAAATAGAAAGTACGAGTAAAGTAACAAAGACTAATTAATTAGTAAAATAACATTTTGTAATTCTTCAAAAGTTCCGGTTAAAGCAATTGGACCCATTAATTCTGGCCCCATTAATTCGTAATATATATATATATATATATATATATATATATATATATATATATATATATATATATATGTCGTTATCACGATTTGTTTTAATACTCGATCGTTGTATCAATTGACAGCTTGCAATTAGTAAACCCACTGGAACTCAATTAGTCATTGCTGAACTTGTGTTTTGAGTTAAAGTGAAATTTTACAGAGAATCAATTTTTACTTTGCAAGTTGATTGATTTGGAATAATTAATTATTAAGTAATTAAATAATGTTAATTTTATTTTAATCCGTGGATTGATTACAAATTGAGTAAATGTAGCTTTTTAAATTAATTCTTGTAATTTTTAATTTGATCCAATAGTAGTAATTTTAAACATTATCAAATATGGAAATTTCCTTTTTCCAACTATCGATTATTATATCGATTAAATCGTGTTATAACTAATAATAAATATTTGTACTTTTACATAATTAAGAGTTTTGCTCAAATTGGAATGCTTCTACGATATTGGAGAATCAAAAATAGAAAATCGAAAATCGAAATCGTTGATGTCGTATATTTAATATAATTCAAAATGCAAATGCTTATACATAATTTATATTAAAGCAGTATTAATAATGTAAAATCATATCACCTTAAATGACAAAATAATTTATAAGTATAGACTATCAAGAATAACAGACTACCCGGTTTTTTTTTTTTTTTTTTTTTTAATGAAAGCACAATTTTCGTTATTATAGTGGCTTCCAAGAGAGCTGTAAGTACCATTGTATTATAATAATGCAACGTAGCAGGGAATTTTTTGCGAGGCTTAAGTCACACAATTAGTCTCACTATAGTCGTCTCCCTCAAGGTGTATCCATCAAACTCCTTAAGTGAACAAGAGCGATTAAAGTTGAGTCTGTCCGGGATAAATCGTGAAGGACTACGTATGTATACTATTGATGGGAGTCGGAGTGTCAGGACAGGGTGGACGACAATTTGGAGCAATCGCGTGGTTGAATATCGGGATGCGGTTGGAAAGTGCGTGGTTGCCGGACTCGGGGCAAGCTTGGAGTGTCACTGACATTACGACGAGAGAGCTTGACTAGCAAAATCGCTGCGCGCTCATTTATAAAGACAAGCAAACGCGAAACACACAATTATCGAAGGGGCATTCATCGGTTGCAGTATGTACGATATTATTTTCAAATCTCGGTGATTGGCACGTTCCATATGTCGTATTTTTCGATCACTCGCTGTTGATACGTGACACAAGGCGCTTTAGCATCAGCAATTCTTAAAACGTGCATCCGCTACGTGCAAAAGAGATACTTTTTTTATCCATATCGATGCCTCTTCCTTTTTTCCGGGAAATACTCACCGTTAATCTCAAGCGATTTTTGCATTTATACTTAAGTTTCGTTTCTTTCTGATTTCGTGACATTCAAGACGACTACTCCAGTGGAGGCTCTTCTATTGTTACATTTGTCTTTACTTCTTCTTTTTTCTTGTTTCTTTATTTCACCAATTTACTTGCTTGATTTTACAAGATTTTATAAATTATTACTAACGAAGAGAAATGTTTAATATTATCAATTTATTTGGCGAATATAATAATAGGATTACATAATATTAAATAATAGCCAAAGATGAAGCGTGTTATCTTTTATTTTGGTTAAATATTCATTATTTCAATGAAAATTATACAGTGTGAATATTAATAGATTGTTTGTTTTAAAAGTAAATAATTCTAAAATTTAATCAAACGTGTAACTAATTTTTACAAATATATGCAACCAATATTTTTATACGCTTTAAGTTTTAATTTAAGAAAGAGTAACTCGAGTCAACAAATAACATATAAGTTTTAATTTTTTCATTTTCATTATATGTGTAAAATGTTTTTAAATTTTAAAAACAGAATTTACAATTTCCTCGAATAATAAATTTTTCCATAAAATATTAATAGAAATCTTATTTACGTAAGAAATTTACTTTACATACGTCAACTTAAACTTAAAAAATTCTGCACAAAATTTGTTGTTATATTATGTAAATAAGTAAATGCATAAATTGAGTATCGTTGCTGAGTAATGCTTTTATTCTTTTTTTAAGTAGTGTTACGAGCAACTGTATTTAATATAATGTTTAATTGAATGATATCTTGCGTTATATTGTTATTTCATATATTTTTAAAAATATTTGCTATACCAATCTTTGCAGGATATCTCGAGAAATAATATTTATTCACTACCTATTAAAGGAAATGAATATGTTGTTTTATTTAACATTGTAAAATTATGGATTTATTAGTTATTATAATTATTAGATAATTTTGTTAATGATATATATATATATATAACAAAATTATTACAAAGTTGCAAAAGTAGTATGAAAATCAAAAGTCAAGACAAGTTTTTTGAATTTCTAATGCTTTACGTTAAATCAACTTAGCATATAATTTGCACCAAGTAGACAAGCGCACAGAGCTTTATAAAGTATTTAACGGTCTGGATCTTTTGTACACGCAAGATAAATAAATACATCAGTCATAAGGAAATAATTTCAAATGAAAAGCAAATGATTTTGACGAAAGTTGTGTCAGAGGACGTAATCGTCATAATGGATTGAAGTACTCATTCTACGTATGGAAAAAATGAAACTGTTGTTTGTCAATTGACAAGTCAAATGACACTAACATGATACGATGTACGTAGAGTACGTGCAAATTAAAAGATAGAATATTATAGAATAGATTAATATATTATGAAATGATAGTCTAAATATAGAGATGTAGTAGTAAGTATTTATTGGTCCAAGAAAAAGGGGGCAGTGACCGGCTGTTGTTTCGCTGTTGCAGGTTACTCTCGGACGAGTACTCCGTTCGATCACGCATTTAGTAAGCTCTCAGTAGAGGACGATGTGCTACTTTTTATCTACATTTACGCACACACATGCATACATATATATATATATATATATTTATATTTTATGAAAATGTTTACATTAGTGCACAGTGTTGGGAGTATCTGCATTACATTGGCGCTCCCTCTGAATCGAATGTCACAATTTGAAATTTCGCTTAAGAAATAGTGTGGTCCTCGAGCCACGAGTAGTGACATTCGCTATAATTTTCCCAATACGTTCAGTGTATTCCTTTACCGCCTAACCGACTATCAATATTATACCACAATAATTCTTAGTCTGCTTATTTTCAAATCAAAAATAAATGTTTTTAATATAATTAAGGATATGCGATAATACTAGAGCAACTAATATAATTTATTTCCACATAATTATTTTACCGTTCTTACCACGCAATCGATAATATATTCAGTTATACCACAATTGTTGCGTCCAACAAAAATCACATTATAATTATTAATACATTTTAATATTAAAATATATTACGAGAAACTACGCTTGCTTGTGAGTAGCTATGAAAAATATGAAAATTTAATGAACGTCTAAAATACTGCACGGACAAAAGCTATAAGTCGATGATATTTATCATAAGTGTAACAACGACTAGGGTAATCTAGATTCTCGAGTAAAGTTTGAAACTATAGGAAAAGTGTTTCATACAATTTTACAGCCCCTTACAAAGAGTCATGCAATATGCACGATGAAAGAATGGACTGGTAGATGATGAAGTGCCGATGAGTATAATAAAGCGCGTCTGTTAGGATTGTGAATTTTATTTTGACGGGTTTGGAATAAAAGTTTACTCGAGCCAATAGTGCGGAGGGAAATAAATAAGGCACTGAACAGGTAAGAGGGAATGAGAAATTCGATAGAAAAATTTCAAGACGACAGTAGGTTCAGACGGTGCGCCAATGATTAAAATTCGTAGGCCCGATGACGGGTGGGAGGGAAGAGAGAGAGAGAGAGAGAATGAGAACGAGAGAGAGAGGGGGGGGGAGGAAAAGCCACGGTTCGCGCGCACCACTTCCGACTCAATTATATTGCGAGGGGCTATTTTTCCTAGGCATATTGCAACCCGTAGTGCACTTCACCGAATGCGCCCGAATTTGTCCGGACTCCGGGGCCTGATCTACATCACGACGCCCCCGTATGCACTGCCCCATATTTTGAGTTGGAAACTGTCGAGGTTTTCGCTCGACTGGAGCGTGCGCACTTCCTGCCTCCCCCTTTGTCTTCCCTGCTGCTCGAGTCAAACTACACAGTGTGTTCAAGATTTGCACCTCTCTTCTTACCTTTCCTTTTTTACTACATGGAAATGGCTTTGGGCGGCAAGATCGAGTCTCTCACACGATAGTTATGCTTCAGTCTTAAACGTACGCGCGGTGTGTCGCTGAGAAAGTGATTGAGAACATGTAAGATGAAGGAATACAATGGCAGTCTACGGCGACGTGCACATTTTATCCCCATCGGTCGCGAGAGAGGGAAGATATTGTTGCAAATCGAACGAAGCTTTAACGATTGCGAATCGAGGCTTATCGATCAACGCGCTTGAATTTTACAGAAGCTTATCAATACTAATAAAATGGGAGAATGTTTATTGATATGTAGGTTAAATGCAAGAGCGTCTATAATTGCTATAATAAAATCTAAAATGACTGACTATGCGCAAATAAAATGGACACACTGTGTTTTCAAGTTGCTGTTTATACTATGATGACTCATACATCAAAGAAAGTTTATGTAAGTTTATACATGCAGATATTACATGTTTCGAGATACCGAGAAAAAAATATTGAGGCCTTTTAAGCGCATAAAGACGCGTCCTTATAAATAATTTTGATTATTTTACATGCAATGATGAAAAATGATTTTGATAGGAAGGACAAGGAACGTCATTTTTAAAACTTCAACTATATACGCGCACCCGCGCGATGTAATGCATGACTTATTCAAATGAAAAATTGAAAATAAAAAAACTCGTACTCTCATGAAATCTTAATGCAATGTATCTTATCAAATAAACATTTTTTTCCTTTTCTCATTTCATACCCTATTAATACTTTTATTAAGAAACTCATAAATCTTTAATATTTAAAAAATTTCTTTTATCATAGTATATTTACCTCTTGTGGTAATTAATCTTTTTAAACTATAATTACTTTATTTAAATTATATGAGAAATTTTTTTTTACTTAAAAGTAAAGTAATATGAAATTTCAATATCTTTAAAATGATTGCCAACTTCTGCTTTATTACTAGAATTTTAAGTGAATCTTTATCGTTTGCAACTTTCTGTTTCTTTGATACTACTAATTTTGATAGTAGAAACTTTTGCATATTTCAAGAGAATGAGCTCTTATTAGTTTTACTTAATTATTATTTTACTGAAAATACTTCTCTTTCAATAACACGATTAAAATATAAAGTAAATATAGAAATTTTATTATATCTTTTTTCATATTAAACAATTTTTTTAATTATTTAATCAAGATTTCCACCCATAGAATTTATGGACATATAAAATCTAATGAAAATAATAATTCGGAAAGGAATTGGAGATCGTTATATATAACATGACCTATTTAAAACTTTTCTATTATGTGTTGGACAATTATTACTGTTAATATAAAAGCTAAACAATATATAATTAATGAATTGTTAAATTGATATAATTAATGGATTTATTTGATATTATTAATACTGTTTCTTCTAAAATAATTATAAAATTTTTAACTTATTTTTAAATTTATTAACATAGTAATTAAAAAATGGATTTTTTTATTATTTTACAAAAATTTGCATCCAACGGAGCTTAATTTAATAGCTGAACTATAAAAGTTATATGTATTTCATGTTAAAATTCTAGAGATTATCATTATTAATCTATTAACTTAACAAATATTTTAAATCAAATAAATATTAAAGTATTAATATATCAAAAATAAACGAATATTTTTTAAATTATTATTTATAGTGGTGAGTTAAATGTCAAAATAAAATTCTATATTGAAATCTTATGTTGTTTCTTAAATTTTTTTTTTATTTAAAACAATAATTACATATATTATAAATAATTTAACTTGAGTATATATGATTTGTTTAATATTAATGAAAAAAAAAAATAATTAAGGTTTTAATCAATACGTGTTTTAAATTAACATCATTAGATTTTTTGCATTGAAAAAATAATTATAAAAACTGCTAAAACCATCAAAATCATTTTGCTATCAATGCTTACATGCATACAAAACGATGTACTTCTCTTCTTTGCTTCAACAGCTTATAAAAATGTCTACAACATACATTCACTTTGCTTTTTGCTTTTAAGTAATCCGTTTCTACGTGTTTAGCGCACATTTATTAGCTTCTATTGAGATTAACAAATACGATTTTCATCAACGTCTTTATCTTTTTTAAGATATAGTTTATTTTATCGTTATTCCACTGTACTTGAATTTAAGTAATATATATTAAAATATATATTACTTACAGACAAATTCTTACCAGTTGCATTTATCTATAATAATACATTCCAAAGTAATTGAACACTGGCTTATATATTATTTGTGTCAAATTCTTCTGTAATGTAGATAGTGCAAAATTGAACCTTAGCACATGTGTCTATATATATATATATATATATATATATATATATATATATATATATATATATGTATATATGTATACTCGATAAGGTTCACTTTCACACTTTCTACTGCTTACGTTCGATATCGACTATCTTCATTAAAATGACTCGGTGAGAGAAGTGAATGTCCAATTTCCTACATGTGTCTGCAATAATCATCTATACATAGAGTGATTTATTTAAATAACGTGTTAAAGACAAGGAGTATCAAATTTTTTTTTTTTAACGTATTTATTCATTTTTATTTTAGGAAAGGATACTTTCAATAATTTTTTTTTATAGAATTATTATATTTTCAGAAATATTAAATTCCGCACGCTCCAAAGCATTACATCGTAATCATATGGACTTTTGTTGATAAGTCGCTACTAGCGTTTTATTAATAGACGAGATAAAAATATAGTATTCTAATTAAACTGATAAAATTTTATATTAAAATAAAATTTCAGATGTTTTAATTATCAATATTTCACTGATGATTTTTTTATTAAAAGATATTAAATCTATATCGGCCTACTAGCTTGATTTTTAAATTAGAATATTCTAATAACAAAAAAATATAAAAGAAATGATAACTTTTATATATGAACTTTAAATAATAGTAATTTACTGTAATAATTCTACATATTTGATTCCAAATAAATTACAAGTTTGTCATAGCAGTCTTTTTAGCAGAAAAAATTCGAAAAAATTCTTTTATCAATCTATTGCTTAGTGCTATTTTATTATTTAATTTTTAATGCAAATTTAATATCATTTTTTGGAATTTACTTTCATGCATTTTAGGTGCTTACCTTAACTAATTAAAATATTTAATTTTTCATTGTTAGCTACTATATAGTTATTAAAATTATGTATGCTATTCATAATATTTTTCTGTATATAAAACACTATTCTTTTGAAAATATCATAATTAATTTCAAATTGTATATATATATATATATATATATATATATATATAGAATACTACTTATATAATTACAAATTTAAATAAATAATAAAAATTATGAATATTGAATCAAATTTTATCATAAGAATGTATGCTATGGATTACTTGGTATCTTAATATTTATAGTTTTAATATATCAATGTTTTATTTTTGAATAATTAAATATCTATGAAAAGTTTTTTAATTATAAGTAATTAATACTCAAAAGAATGCATTTATAGAAATATATCAGTTTGATTGGATCCATGAGAGTCAATAATTAAAAGGAACAACATACAAAATCTTTATTTCATTTCTTTTTCACGCAAGAATGATCTCAGCTGTAAGGCTTAGCAGTCTTTTACATAATTTTTATTTTCTTAGAGATGGTTCGGTTTGA